GCTTCCAGAAGGAACGTGACCCTGCCGACACATGTAGAGTAAGATAATAAATATATTTCTTAAAGCAAAGTGTGTGATGATTTATTCCAACAGTACCAGGACACTAATACACGGTTTAAGAGTACTGGCCTCGAGAGTCACTGTCCATGATTTGGAAGGACAACACAGACCCACTTCAATATATTTGAACAACAACAACAAAAAATGAAGATGAAGATAGTGTTTTAGGAAAATTGATCTGCAGCAAAGAATGAATAAGAAAACAAGGATCAGAAACAGCTAAAGAAATACTTACATAAAGTAGTAAGACTGTATTAGATGGTGAGAGGGGAAATGAAATGGTGCATATGACAGAAATTTGGAAGAATGAACCAACAGGACTTGATGACCCTCTGGGTTTGGAAGGTAAGAGAAAGCTGGGAAAGACCTCCAAGATTTCAAACTTTGTGGCTTTGGTGCATGTGCCTGGGTTGGGGGGGTTGTCTAAGAGAAACCTTTAAAAATATAACCACACCAGAGGAATTCTCAAATGTCCACAGGCATGAAGATGACCTGGAATGCAGGTTTAATTAACATGCAGATGACTGGGCTCCATCAGAAAGACTCTGATTCACTGTGTCTGGATGGTATCCATGAATCTGCCCTTCGGTAAACATGATTCTCATTCAGGTGATTCAAAGTTCACATTTTATGTATTTACTTTTTATCCTCACCCGAGGACATTTTTCCATTTTTTGTTCAGGTAGAGTGGGAGGGAGAGAGAGGAACAGAGAGAGAGAGAGAGAGAGAGAGAGAGAGAGAAACATCGATGTAAAAGGGACACATCGAGTGGCTGCCACCCACACAACCAACTAGGGCTGGCGACAAACTGCAACCGAGGTACATGCCCTTAGCGGGAACCGAACCCGGGTCTCTCTAGACCACAGGCCAACTCTCTAACTACTGAGCCAAACCGGCTAGGGCCAAAGTTCACACTTTAAAAAACACCAATCAAGAAAAACTAAAAGGAAATGGAATGAAATATTCATCATAGCTCTGGAAAAAACTAATCTTACAGAAAATCTGACGGGGTAAACATTGATCTATTAGACAACATAAAAATTTAAAACATTTGTAAATTAAAATAAATATTATAGCCCAAATGAAAAGGTCTTTGGTGAAAAATACTTTCAGCAAATGGCTAATATTTTATTAACAGGCCACACAAACTAACGAGCAAAAACAACGAAGACCCCTGCAGATAAATGGGAAAGCATATAAATAGAATCTCAAAAAGAAGGACTGGAATCATAAACAAACCTAAGAAATACCAATTAAAACAGCAACAAGGCAACACAGATTGCTTGCTAAATAAACAGATACCATTTTGGGTGGGTAATAGTCCAAGCTGACGACACATTGTACTACTTTCATACTCGCTGATTGCATTATAAATCCGCTATAACCACTTTGGAAGAAAGTAAGTTGGCAATATATATCAGGAGCTGGAAAAATATCCCTACTCTTTGACAGAAAATGCTTCTTTTAGTATTCTAGCTTAAGGAAACACTCTTGAATATGGGGGGGAGGGGGCGGGTATTTATGCAATGAAGGCTATCAATTACTGGAAGTTTATCGGGCGATATACTTGATGTCATTTAGTCTGTAAAACAAGCCAGTGGAGTGAGTACTCTGTTCCCATGCGGAAACGGGGAGCCTGAGTCCACGCAAGATCGTGGGCCTTGTTCGCAGAACCTGAAGAGCTGGGAGAGGTAAAGGCAGCTCGGAAACATCCTGCTTCGGGTGCGAGCACACTGCGTTCCGACACCATGGTGATCCCCACGTGGGGACACAGCGCAGCGGCATCTTTTTCTAAAAAGCTCAAGCAAGGAAGGAAAACAGGGATTGTATTAGGGTAGGAGACATATGTGTGGGCAGCGATGGGTCATGTCTCCTGTCCCCATATTTTCTGCAAGATTTAGCTTCGTAAATCTAAGTTACTCGAGGGGAAGAAAATAATGCGCATAGGAAAAAACAAAACAAAACACCTGAATTTTTCAAAAAAGTCCATAAGAAATCCTAAGAAAAGTGTAAATGATTAGGATATTGTTCTCATAGTTTAATATCAACAATTATAGAAGTTTAGGAGAAATAATAATCATGAAGAACTTTCTTCAGAGACCCAGATGAACTGTCAAATGGGTGATGGCTTTCGTGTCTGCCTCAGAATTACCCTGACAATAAGCCAGGGTTACTGTTCGTGTGGTTGCGGTACGTGGACAAGAGCTGTGCGTCTATTATTCTCCAGACGCAGAGCACTTGTTAATAGCTCAAGTATTATTTTAGAATTAACTTGGGGTCATGGGCTACACACTGTTAACAACTGAGACATACAATGTAAAGCGGAAGAAAAACCAGGACACCGGCAAGAGAGCCAATGGCGTCCACTGTTGAAATAGTTGAATACTTCAAAAAACAGTCAATGAGAATAACTCTAACTCCATGTAAAGGGAGAACGCTTATGTACAAACATAACATCCAAAGCACATCACAAAGCTCACACAGCGAAACCGGGCACCAAAATTCTCACGCGAGGATACAGTCGCGTGCTGCGCCAGCAGACGTCAGTAAAGCTTGTGGATTCTCATTTTTTTTGCCCATTTCAATCCTTCTTAACACACAATCCTGCAGTCAAGGCTACAGATTTGTTTTTATGCCCTACCATTATGTGCACCCAGCTGTCTTTCATAGCTACCTTTCTGGCAAATCTCACTCAAATACAATAAAGCGAGTCAAGGCCACGCCCAGCAGCTGCTTTCTGCTCTGTAATACGTAAGATGAGACAGTCTCTCCCAACTAAAATCCTGCCCCAAAAAGCTATTTTTTTTCCTCTATGTCTCTGTGAAGATATTTTAGCAAAGCTGTTAGAAACATGCAAAATTGAGAGATCTGAGAATTTCTATTCTCTTCACTCTAGTAGGCCTGCTGATGTAAGAATAGCCAAGATTACTAACAGCATTGCAGACATTGAGAGGAGTCCTAGAAAATGTAGGTTTTGTTCTGACTCTGAGGATCTGAGAACTGCCTACACCCACTGGGGAGAAGGTCCTCTGCTGCAGAAGAGAATAGATTGTATTAGAGGAGGGAACAGGGTGAACGACCCTCCCCCGGATGAGGTGTGGGCAGCTCTGGCTCAGGGCAGGCCTAATTGGCAGTCACCCAGCTGTGCCTCGTGTGGAGTTGGTCCCTGAGTATCCGGTGGGGACAGCTGGGTGGTGTCGGGGTCACAGAGAGCTGGGCGCTGACCCGGGAGGTTAGGCAGGAGGCTTGCGTGTGACAGGCTGCCTCGGCCAGGCTCCGGTCACCAGAGGCTGGGGAGGGACTTCTGGGTTTAATCTCACGGTAAGGACTGATTTCCTGAGGTGCCCAGTGGAGACTGCTCTAGAATCTGTTTCCTCGAAAAACAGTAAGCAAAGCAGAGTTTCTGGAGATGGAAGTGAAACGCACACCCCAGCTTTGTTTCTCCCCCGGGCCTCCGGCTGGTTCCTGGGCCAGCAACACCGGGAGGGCTGTGCTTCCCCGGCCTCTCCTCGGGGGTAAGCGCCATGGAACGGTTTCAGCCCGAGAAGCCAGTGTGATTGAATTCCTACAGAAGAGTGCACAGGTCCCCGAGAGGGAAACAATCCCAGTTCCTCCGGAACATCCTACTTAAAGTTTCTACTCAAGACTCTCTTCTTCCGGTCAAAGTGGGAACATTTAATTATGAAAAGTGCTAAAGAACTTTTAATACAGTCAGCACACTGTCACGTCATACACACTGACAAGTCCCATGGAATTTAAGGCGTGTTTAATGAAATTAAAAGAACAGACTCTTTTTTTTTAAATTATTATTTTTTATCCTCACTCGAGGATATTTGTGCATTTATCTTCAGATAGAGCAGGAAGGAGAGAGGGAGGAAGAGAGAGAAACATTGATGTGAGAGAGACACATCAAGTGGTTGCCACCCACACGACCCCAACTGGGGCCGGGGACAAACTGCAACTGAGATACGTGCCCTTAGCAGGAGAACCGAACCCAGGACACTCTGGTCCCCAGGCCGACGCTCTAACTGCTGAGCCAAACCAGCCAGGGCAACAGACACTTCCTTAAAATGCTTAGTATCTTCCTAATCTTCCTAATTTCTTTACATATGGGCATGCATGTGTGTATGTGTGTGTGTGTGTGTGTGTATGTACATATTTACAAGTACAAAAAATACATACACACATGTGAATATGCATATGTGAAAGAAAAATAGTAAAATTACAAGATTTTTCTGGGCAATTTCATGAGGTACTTCTAGTAATAAGGTAATCTCAGCACCCCAATGATAATCTATAATCTGCAATGTAATCTATGCTACATTTTGGTATAAAATAAGAAAGCATTCACTCTTCTGTTCTTTATTGACCATTTTCCCCCAAACTCAGCTATTCCTTTTGCATTCCTGTCTCTTTTATCTAAGGCTTTTACTGCAACACCGGTCCTGTCGACACCTGCCTTTACAATTCAACCAAGGCCGAGAGCTCCTTTTACATGTTGCCCAAACAGTCCTGAAATAGGTGTGACATGTATATTATCTTTTCCAGATACAAGTAAGTATAAGTTGAGTTTAATAAATTCCTCCCCATAAAATAAAATAATCACTTGCTCCTCTTCTTTTCAATTTTGTAAATCCCACTGAGTGTATTTTATGGATAGAACAGGGCCTGGGTCTTATTTTTTCTGGACCTACAATCCCCAGCACAGCACACTGCCAACAGCTGCCGCCTCACATCTGCTCATGGTAGACACCATTACAGAAAACCCACCTACTCAGAAAGCAGCCTTAAAGGACTACATGATGTGTGTTAGAAGGAAATCTACTTCATGATACAAGAAGCCACGCTGTTCCAAGAACTCCTGATGCTCTTAGGAACCCCAGAAAGCAGTCTTATCGTTATACCATCTGCCATACCGAGAAAAGGGAGAAAAAAGTTACCTTTTTGTGCAAGGCATGAAATTCGCTGTACCTTTTCTCAACAAAATGTTTTCTTCCATTCATTAGCACTTCTATCTTAAACACCTAAGAAAAAAATAAAAATAAAAAGATTAATTCTACCAGTTCGAAACCCTCAATTGTCTGATGTGGTAAGTTTGTGACCATGATATATTTCATCCCTTTAATTACAGTAGCTGATCCCCCAAAACCCAGAAGGCTCAGGAGACCCTTCGCCCAACAGCACTGATTAATGAGCGCTCGAGCCAATGCTCACTAACAAACAGCAGTGTCCCCGCAAACATGTCTAGAAACAACAGAAACCTAAATGCCTTAAAATGCATCTTAACTTTTTAATCAGAGGATGTTCCTCCCTTCAGATTATTTCACTAAATGCAGATGATGGTACTGAAATAAAAGTGTGATATCACAGCGAGAGTCTGGCAAAAATCACAGACCTGAGACATGCCATTATGGGTGTTTCAATGACGGCGGTGCTATGTCATGTAGAAGACAATCATGCAAACGGCAGTGCATTTTAGGTTAATTTCTTCCTAACCTGCATATTCATCTCTTGTCTCAGCTGGGCTTATTCTGCTGTTTGCAAAACAGGGAAAACGTGGTAAAGGTTCATTTTCCCTGCATGATACGAGTGACAGCTTGTGCTCCCACCTCCGGAAGGTTGAAAGGCCAGATGAGAAGGCTCTCTGTGTGCACTAATTAGTAGGCACTGACTTGACACTTTCTTGATTCTTAGGTCAGTGGGTCAAGACTGGAAACAAGGGACGAGAAGTATTGTGAAATGCTCATGAAAACGCAGCCCTGAGGTGGGGTGGGGGAGGATGCTGGGCAGGAACTGAAGAGAAGGTGCACTGTTGTTCCAACAGTTTGTCACTGGCTCCTGTTTTGTGAGTGTTTGTCAACCCCAAGACGAGGGAATATTGTCCAATTACCTAGTACACCTAATGTCCTGTTTCAATCACCCTTCTGAAAGATGAAAAACTGAACTAAAGTTGACGTCACATGAAACAGAGTAGTGTTAAAAGCAAGCTCACTTTACCCTTAAAAAGAATTTAGCATATGAGATACAAGGTCACACAATGTCATTACAATCCCAGGTCCCCGTGGCTCCATATTTCTGCCTTATATGTAAATATGACTCTTTTTTAATAAAAAGCCACTGTCATCAAAAAAAAAAAAGTATTTATATTTTTGCTCTTCTTCAAACCAGAAACAAAATCTTCTGTTGCATGATTCAGTTTTAAAACCTACTTTTATTAAATCAACATTTTAGTCTAACATTTGGTTTTCCAACTCCCCATAAGATTACTTTTCTTTGGTGAATTTGTGAAAATATCTTCTTCCAAAAGCATACACATATGCTTCAAACTCGCAGATACACCTATATTACTTTTTAGAAAATAATTGTTTACTAATTCACTAAGGAAAACTATTCCTCAAAGTCCCTGCCAGGAACAGAAGAAAGAAAACACCCCGAGAAACAAACAAAAGAAGCACAGCTTCCACTTGGGGGCTTGGTTAATAGGCTGCTGAGCCTCCTTTCGGGTGTCAGGTCCCAGATTTAAATCAGGACGACACGGGAGCAGCGGAAGTGGTTTCCATCTGCTGAGCTGCCTGAAATAAATGAAGTTGTGTTCTGAGTCCAGTTGCTCAAGGTTCCATCACAAAAACCACCACCTTAATTGGCATGTTTGCCGCAGAGCCCAGAGAAGAAGAATGTGGAAGACTTGGTAAGGTTCAACCCACTAGGTCACCCCTCAAGGTGCCCCCTCCTGAAGGCCAGGATAAGACATGACACAGCGGCCGCCTCCTGGAATGTCATCCTTCTATCGACCAGATGTTCCCTTACCAAGTTCCACACTCTTCACAATCACTAATCACGGGGGTGGGGTGTTGGGGGAGAGAAGACACACAGAGCAAAGTGTGTGAGAAATTTTAATTTCTAATATTTTTATTATGTGGCCATTTTAAAAATGCATGCTATATCTAATATTGTCTTTTCTTTTCTTTTTTTAATTATGGGAAAACATCTCAGAAAGGAAGCTGGTTAATCAGCATTTCCATGACAACGTGAAGCAAGAACTGGAGTCAACTTAATAACGGACTCTCCTGAATTCCATACCAGACTCTTTTTTTTTTTTAAAGAGCCCTGATCCATGTTGTCCCTGCTGCCTGGCAAACCTCTCTCCTGCTCTGCTCTCCCAGAGACTCTTGGTTGTTATGTACTGTAAGGTGGGTGGCACAGGCCGATGTCTGGAAAGCTCCGAGCACAGAATCTGGCATTCATTCCTTTGTTTTTAAACAGATATTTCCTGAGGGCCTGTATGTGCCCAGGAGTTGTTCTAGGCTCTGGGTATTCAGCAGCGAATAAAAGAGGCGAGAGCCCTGCCTTCATGGAGCACACATCCCGTCCGGTGAGGGAGGCCGACCACAACCATGAACCAATGTGGCGATGTCAGGACATGAGAAGAGCTGCGAAGAATCCAGCAAGGTAACGGGACAGAGCTGGCCAAGGATGCCATTTCAGACGTGTGGCCAGAGAAGGCCTCCCTGAGAAGAGGGGCGGCAAGAGGTAGAAAATCTAGAGGGAATTCCAGGAATAAGGTGCTGGATGTGGCTGCCTCTGGGATGTTGCACTGGGAGAGTGTGGACAAGGACTATTCTTTTTCATTCCTTTTGTTTTTGTTGTTTAATTTTTTTTTTTTTATCTTCACCCGAGGATATTTTTTGCATTTATTTTCAGACAGAGCAGGAGGGAGAGAGGGGGAAAGAGAGAGAGAAACATCAATGTGAGAGAGACACATCAGCTGGCTGCCACCCACACAACCCCCACCGGGCCAGAGACAAACAGCAACCAAGGTGCATGCCCTTAGTGGGAACCAAACCCAGGACTCTCCGGTCCACGGGCCGACACTCTAACCGCTAAGCCAAACTGGCCAGGGCTTGTTGTTTAATTTTTAAGATAAGCATAGGGCAGGATGATTTCTACTTCTGGCCAAGGTGGAGTAACAGAGAACAGATTTAACCTCCCATCTGAAATAATTAAAAGACTTGATATTTTTTCTCTTGTTTCCCTTGCCCGTGGAGATATATCAGACAGAAATAATGCTACAAGAAATAAAGAAATGGGAATACATCAAATTAAAAAGGTTTTGCACAGCAAAGGAAACAAAACCATAAACAAAATGAAAAGTGAGAGAACATATGTATTCACCAAAGATACATCTTACAAGGAGTTAATGTCCAAAATTTACAAACAACTTATAAAACTCAACACTATAAAACAAATAATCTGATTAAAGTGGATAAAGGACCTGAATAGACACTTCTCCAAAAGGACATACAGATGGCCGACACATGAAAAGATGCTCAACATCACTAATCATCAGAGAAATGCAAATTAAAAACACAATCCGATATCACCTTACACTTGTCAGAATGGCCGTCATCAATAAATCCACAAACAACAAGTGTTGATGAGGATGTGGAGAAAAGGGAACCCTTGTGCACTGTTGGTGAGAATGCAGACTGGTGCAGCCACTGTGGAAAACAGCATGGAGTTTCCTCAAAAATTTAAAAATGAAACCGCCTATGACCCAGCAATTCCACTTCTAAGAAACCTGAAACACTGATTTGAAAGAATATATGGACTCCTATGTTCACTGCAGTGGTATTTACAAGAGCCAAGATTTGGAAGCAGCCCCGGTGCCCATCAGTAGATGAGTGGATAAAGAAGCTATGGCACATGTATACAATGGAATGCTACTTGGCAGTAAAAAGGAAGTTTTACCTTTTGTGGCAGCATGGATGGACCTAGAGGGTATTATGCTAAGTGAAATAAGCCAGTCAGAGAAAGATAAAAACTATATGATTTCACTTATACGTGGAATCTAATAAACAAAATAGAAACAGATTCACAGATACAGAGCAAAGACTGAGAGCTGATCAGAGGGGAGCAGGATTGAGGGACTGGGTGAAATGGGTAAAGGGATTAAACAAAAAGAACCCCAAAGACTCCCACACACAGACAACAGTGTTGTGATGAACAGAAGGAAAGGGGGCTGGGGCAGGTAGAAGAGGATAAAGGGGAGATAAATGGTGATGAAAGGAGACCTGACTTGGGGTGGTGAACACACAATGTAACATACAGATGATGTATTACAGGCTTGTACACTTGAAACCTATATACTTTTTTTTTTTATCCTCACCCGAGGACATTTTTCCATTTTTTTGTTCAGACAGAGTGGGAGGGAGAGAGAGGAAGAGAGAGAGAGACAGAAACATCGATGTGAAAGGGACACATCGAGTGGTTGCCACCCACAAGACCAACCAGGCCCGGGGACAAACCGCAACCGAGGTACGTGCCCTTAGCGGGAACCGAACCCGGGTCTCTCTGGACCACAGGCCGACGCTCCAACTGCTGAGCCAAACCGGCCAGGGCGAAACCTATATACCTTTATTAACCAACATAACTCCAATAAATTCCATAAAAATATAAAAAAAAAATAAGAAACTGGGTAAAATATGTGGTATAAAAGGACTCTCAAGACACTGGACACAAGGAAATTAAGACGCTGAGAGACAGGAAACAAACAAGGTGAGCCGCGTGATTACCCAAGGCAGGCTCTGAGGTCCCTGAGTCAGGGAGACGGAGGCTGGAGTGAGAGGAAGCCAAGGTAAGTTTCTCTGCAGCATTCAGATGAGTCCTCGTCAGAACATGGGACTGGGGGAACTACCCAAGGAAGGGACAGATTAGAAAGAGAGGGGCTCAGAGCTCACAGACAACTGGGCCTAGTGCCTGTTCCCAAAAGCCAGGGTAGAAAACTTCATAATTTATGAGACATTCGTTACTCAGAAGGGACTTGCCTTAGCAGTGGGCAAAATTAACTGCAGACTGAAAGCTCTTTCCGTCCAGTGTACAAAGTTTAAACATAAAAACTTGAAGAGCGCAAACTGTTCCTGAGGTATTTGTTCCTGAGTAATTTAACCACACGCCAGAACAAAGCTCAAGAATATGTTTAGGAATATAGAAATATCCTGTACCCTTCCCTGGCAGGTTTGGCTCA